TCTTTCCCTTCCCCACTCCTTCAGAAGTGAAAATTAGAGGTCCATGCACACCCCTCCCTTGGATGACATGAGGTCCACAGAACAGCATGATCTGAATCCTGCATAGGAAGGTTGCAAAGAGATATGAAAAGGTGCTCTGTGGTTCCTTCCTTCCTCTTGAGTTGGGACAGTGCTGCTCTCTAACCCTATTAGCCATCAGCTTGAATAGCTTACAGGCAAACAAGAAAATAGCTAGACGCAAATATGAAGCTACCTCCGTTTTTCATATTTCTATTTATATTGATACCCTTTGCCTGAGCACCTACACAGAAGAGAGTACTACGTGTTAGGTGGTTGATGAGACAGAAGTTGGTTCAATAAAATACATTACCTCACCCAACTTGTCTGTTCATCATTTGATACAGACATATCCCACTCTGCCATGCACTTATACAGTCAAGTTGCATAATCATAATCCCAAGCACACAACCATAGGATTGCATGCAGAACATGCACTCTTAGGCATAGCAAGATCCAGGACAAAAAAAGCAGTTTTCTGATTGCAGTGTGATGAAATTTCTGTAACAAAAAGCTATACGCTGTGGTTATTATGAACATGAAAATATCAAATGTTTGGAAAAGAAATAATTCATGTAGCCTTCTTTATCTCTGAATGTCGCTATGGAAAAGAATATCCACTGTATTTGGAGCTGCTTTACAAGTTAATGTATCTAACTTAATCAGTTAATTGATTTTGCTATTTTTGGTGAATAAAAAATGCCCTCTAAATGTAATTTACTAACAGTGTAGTTAAATGTAGCTTCATGAGTCATTCCTTGCAAACATTACTGTGAACCAAATTTAAATCTGAAAGGTCCTAGGTAAAACTGCCTATTAGATTTACATCTGACCGTATTTTTTTTTCAGAATTGTTGTTGTTTAATATATTGAAATGGTTTAAAAAGTAACATTCTACTCCAGCATTGATTACATTTAATATGTAATGCCTCTATGAAAAGAGAACTAAACCTAAGCTATACTTTAGGAACACTGAGACTATTCTAAAGCCACAAAGTAGGGACATTGAAGTTAAGCCAGGAAACTAGGCATTGGAGTTTGTTTTATATGTGGAGAATCTGTTAAGCAACCCTCAATAGCAACTAGACACAATGACCAAGGATCAAAGACTCAGTTTCAGCCTTAATGCTAAACTTTCTTAGGTTGAATCATCATGCTTGTTGTTTTATTGCAAGTATGATGACTACCATCTTAGCTGCCACCTCCAGGAATGATCTGGCAACCTCCAGAGCTAAATGTATGAGTTGCTACAACTTGAGCTGAAGAGCCAAGAGGTTATAGCCTGGAGTGCAATAGATTCCTATCCTCTGTGAACCTGCATGGTAGGGGACTTACAATGCACTTTGACCTGTAAAGTACAGGTGCAAATTGATTATATATATTTTTGTCTTTGGTTAAATGGATTGTTTTACTAGGGTAATGAAGGTGAACCTCATCTGACTGTTACATGGGAGCTCCCTGAGGCTGCATCACTTATTCTGCAAGGGAATACGGTCATGTCTCTATGTCTGAAACCCAATGCCAACAAAACAAATGGATTTTTTCCAGATGTTCAGCTATTGCCTGACACAGATGCTAAGACAAATAACAAAATGCAGGTGAAGAACACTCCTTCAATTTCCACATCATTTGCATTAAATGAGCTAGTGAGAGATTTCGATGCAGTATGAGAAGCAAAGATTCCAAAGTTTCCACAGCACTGAAGTCCAAAAATATTTTTTTTAAGGAGGTGACTGTTTCTATGAGAATTAGTTGAATGATGCCCATTGATACTAATAATTGTTGTGATTAAATACATAAGCAGTGCTCTGACAATATGCCCCTGATTATTGTGTTACATGTTGGAAATAACAGATTGAGATTTAGATAGACAGTGCTGTACAAATGAAAAGGACATCCTAAATACTAATGGATTAATCTTCTGAATGACAAAGGGAGGAGGAGATTAACATATTGTGGCTATTTTAAAGGAGGGCACTTAGATGTAGAGAAACAGACTCATCTCAGGTCAAACAGCAAGTCTGTGAGAGACCTAGGGCTAGAATCTAGGTCACTTGACTGCCAGCCCTGGCTGTGATTTTGTCACCAGACACTGCCTTCCATGCTAAATGACATGGCCATGGTAACATAAGTTACCTGTATACATCTAATGAAATAAGGCACATGTAATGGGCTTGCCAGGCCAAATAATTTCCTAAGTGATTTTGAGCAATGTTGCTGACTTCTGCAGAATCATCTGTCATTGTTTTTTTTAAATTGAGTTCCCAGCTGTGCCATTTGTGAAGGAAAATGCGGTGAGTCGCATGCAGTTGAGGTGGGGAGAACAACTGCCGTTCAGGTGTGGTCAGGCCCGACTCTCTATGAGCTCCACTCATTCTGCCGCTGTTCAGAGTGTAAAGGAACCACTGGAGTGGGAGTGACAGAATCCTTTAGGCTCCATTTTCCCTTCCCGTGGTCAAAAGAGGAAAGGCTCAAAGATCAATGGGTCCCCACTACTCCTTGCTGCCAGTCATCCAAGGCCAGTTCCAGAGGAATCCTGCTCTGCCCTTGGTGGTGTCGTTATTTGGCTTGGCTCCTTCTCATAGTGGTGCGAGTGCAGCGTCTGAGCAGGTGAAGGATCTGGGAGCTAGTCGAAGTATGGGAGGGGGCTGAAGCAGAGTGTTAGGGTATGTTCACTTAGCTGAGGATGCTCCTGTTTGGCATGAGAGGGGAATAGGTGGCTCCATGTGACACCCTGCAGCTCCCATTGGCCAGGAATTGTGAGGGTGGAGCCTGCAAGCGAGGGCAGTGCTGGGATACAGCTTCCTGGAGCAGTGCTTATTGCAGTTACGTGGCTCCAGAGGAGAGAAAGGAGGAATGGCAACGTGTAGAGCTGCCTGCCCCCACCCCCTCACTCCCCAAATCAGGCAGAGCTGGCCCGGATTGCAACATGGAAGGGCTTTAGTGTATCCCAGAGTCCTCCCCCTTACCCTGGTGACCTGGGCTGCAGCTCTCAAAGCCCCTTTCTTAATCTGGTCCTGTTCATAACACAAGAACAAAACAGGAAGGTGACCAGTGAAAAAAGGAAATGCTCTTTCACACGACATATGGCTATATTGTAGAATTTATTGGCACATGAAGTTGTTGAGACCAAGAATTTAGCAAGTTTCTATGAGAGATTAGATGACATATGGATAACAAGAATCTCCTGAGTTATAATAGTTCATGCCAACAGAAAAAATAATTGGAAGGAACATAGAACCTCCTGTTTTATGGGTTAAAACAATATCAAAATATTAGGGATTAGGATAAGAATTTTGAGAGAGCAGATTATACCACAGCTACCTATTTGCTGCTGCCAATGTTGGAGACAGGTTAGCGAACTTAGAGGGTCTGATCCAGGATGTCAGTTCCTGTGTAGTACAATGTGCTCTGTGCCCGCTCTTGCTGTTAATTTTATTTGGATGTTTGTCACGTGTTAATGTACAAGTTGCAACAATCCATTAACATAGGACATTACTTATACTAATAATTCTGGCTGTGCTAGATACAATGTGTCAAATATGTTTGTGCTATTATTGTATGATGCAAATGGTATAATGCAAAGGGAAGAAGAATGATTCTGTGTTCAAAGCACAGAGTTGTCCAAATAGCGTGTTCTTCTGGGTCCTACCAAGGACTTCCTATGAGTATCCGTAAAATGGACATAAGAATATTTAGAGTGTTTTCTATAAAAAAAAAAACCTTAGCATTTGCTAGGATTTATCACACTGAGTGTTCTCTCTCACTTCATCTTCAGTCCTTAAAACAGAAAATTACTCTGGTATCTCGGGTATAATTGTACATTTAATGCTAATTTTACTATTGACCATAGTTCTTACTTCAAAAGCATTCTGACATGTTCGGATGGAAGGCACCACAGGAAAGGCAAATATGTATAATTCTAGTAACATTGATTGAGCTTACAACTATATACAATGTAATTTTCAGTACATGGCACATCTGTAAAAACATTTCCCTATTGAATTTAATGTTTTTCTTATTAAGTCTTTATGCTTGCTTTAGGATCTCCCAACAGGCACTGAAATGAAGTGCTTTGATGTGTTAAAAATCGAAGGTTACAGCTTGATAGCTACTGGAAATGCACAGGGTGCAATAATTTTATGGGATTTTGAATCTGCTACTGTCAGATACTTGTAAGTAATACTTTTGTAACAGATATGGGAATATCCTGGACAAATTTTATGGGATAAAGTTAAATCTTTCTGAATTAAATTTAATTGTTTTGGGAGTACATTGTATTAAGAATGCAAATGTTTATGTACTATTATGGGATTATATGGAACTTCTTTAGAAGGAAGATTAAGATTAATATAATTTCTGGAGGATATTAGGACTTCTAAAGACTTCTGTGAATAATGCTCATGAACCTGGGGTGAGGAAAATGCTAATGACCAACTTGGTATCCATCCATTTGAAGCTGCTCTTTGATATAACCGAGAGAGAGAGAGAGAGAGAGAGAGAGAGAGAGAGAGAGAGTGCAAAGTAATGCTTCAGTTTACTAAGTATCCTATTGTTTCACTTCTTGAGATATCCATGATATGGATATGGTGGTTCAAAGGCTGATTTAATAGTGACAGGTTTTGACAACTCAGACAAATATAATCAGAGCAAAGTCCCCAAAGTCCATATAAAATATTAAGATGGATAGTTTTGGTATTTCTAATAAGTAGATAAACAAATTCTATTTAGGGTATAATGTGGAATATTATATTTGGTTCTAGAATATTATTCATTATTATGTAATGAATCAGAGGAGAGGAGTTTAGATAAAAGTATGGTATCACCTTGGATATAAAAGCAAATGGAGACTTAAATCTTTGCCTTGTTTGGGTATACGTTGTCTGTAGATGCAGTCAAATCATTGGCCTGACACCCTTCATCTGATCACTGGGTTGTGGCACTTTGTACCTATGAGGAAGTAAACCTGTTCCTTGCATCTGCATTCTGGAGTTAGCAGTGGGTTTGTCTGCTACAGCAGGCAGCAGTTGTCTCCTTTGCTAAAGCAGAAGGGCTGTGTCTACACTGCACCCCTTTTCCGGAAAAGGGATGCAGATGAGACACTTCAGAATTGCAAATCCGCGGGGGATTTTGGCTGCCGCTTTTTTCCGGCTTGGGGAAAAGCTGGAGAAAAGCGCCAGTCTAGACGCGATTCTCCAGAAAATAAGCACTTGAAAGTAGGCATAAGAAATCCTCCGGAAAAGGGCTTATTTTCCGGAGAATCGCGTCTAGACTGGCGCTTTTCTCCGGCTTATCCCCAAGCCGGAAAAAAGCGG